TGATAAACTTCGTTCCAAGTTATATAAAATATATAAGAAAAAAACTGGGCTTGATCCTTGGATGAAGTCTGAAAATCCGGATCCCCCACAAATCGAAGAGGTTAATTATACCCCACAGAATTGCGTTATCAAAATTTCCAAGTTTCCAGAAGAGAAAGATGTAATTATTGAAGCAGTACATAAACGTTTTCCTTTCTTGAGATATATTAAATCAAATGCATGGTACCGAGATGTTTTTAAATATACAGATCCAGAAGCTAAATGTCCGATATGTAAAGAGGTGCATACACGTTTAGGTATATGGGGCGATTGGAGCTGTCTCGGTAAAAATGATCACTATTTTCTTAATTGCCCCTTTCGTATTGATCAAAAGAAGTTATTAATTGCTTTGCAGGCTTAGATAAACATCATTAGTAGATCATGGTTTAACAATAATAAAAATCCAAATAACAGTATAAATAGTGACCAATACTTGTTCACACTATCGCGTAAAAATAAAAAATTGGGAGCCCAGCGGACCCACTCCCTTTATTTTTTTAAAAAATTATATTGCCGGGACCACAACATAATATATAAATAAAAAATATATATCGCAGTTACATAGTGCAAATACAAATAAAAAAATTAATTTGGGGGAGGGGAGTATACAATGAAGTATGCCCTATCAACATTATCAGGAATATAATTTTCAAGAAACCTATTTTCCGCTTCCATATAACGTATAATACCTCTAGGATCATCCGGGGAAAGTTCAATATTATTGGTAGTAATGTTAAATTGATTCTTAATTTTGACTTTAACATCTTTGACTTTGTCACCCCACTTAATTTCTATCATGTGAATAGTAGTTAGATCATTACTGAGTTTAAACTTGACATTAAAGTCATCAACCATTTTCGCGTTACTAAATATAAAAACTCGTAGTTGGTGGATCATCGTTCCTAAATGAAAAAAAAAACAAAGACGTATTATAGACAATATGCACATACCTTAAAATTAAATTGTGAGTATGTTAAGTTTTTTTTTTCAAAAAAATAAATATAAGAGCAACGTTATTGCCAACTTATCTTAAGGTGGGAACTCGCTCATTTTTATACCATTCGGTCCACTAGATCTAAAAAATAACCAGAAAAAAAAATACATTAGTAATTACGTTACCCAAACCTAGTGCCAGTTTTTTCTCCATAAAGCAATTCCGCTCGGCCATAAGTTCCAAATACTGAATATATTTTGTAGTTTTTTTTAGGTAAATTGAACCCTCCTTAGATTCAACGATCGGTACTACGAAGTAAAAAAGACAACGATCTTGACGATCTGGGAATTCCAAGTTCCTCATGGCATATAAATTTGGATAAAACTACCGATAAAGAACGTTATACTCCTTGCCCTTATAGCCTTTTAAAGTCCCATTCTTATCGCGGAATTATATATAAGGTAAGAAAGGTTCTAATCGCTATTCATTATTAGCACTACTTATTAACTTAATAAAAAATCGACGTGGGAAAGTAATTCTGCATTAAGGTAACACCGCATAAAATTTAATACGGGCCAGTCTTGATCCCTACGATTAGGCGAACCATCACGGAACGATCACGGAAAAAATTTATTAAATCCTTATGTACGATCAGGGAACGATCACGGAAAGTCGCAATTTAATACGTGGTTATTACAGTAAAATTTATATAATTTATGTGTCAGGTGATAGAACGTGGTTGCATTAGTTGGCTTTTTCTAATAAATATAAATTATCTAAGCCACTGTTGAAGTGCTGTTGAAGTACTGTTCAAAATAACAGATAAGCAAAATACATGTATCAAATTATCAAATAAATCACAAAAAAATGTAAGATAGGTATTCAATCAACATTTGTAGATCTTACGATAGCTAAATACGTCACAAGTTGTTAATAGGGCTAAACTACACATATAAAATACAAGATCATTTACTGCACCGATACTATTTAAGTATTGTTATTGATACACCAAAATTACCAAGAAATAATTAGTTAGCGACAGTATTAGTGTTGGATTATTATATGAATCAAGAATGCTAATTTTCGAACGACCGGTACTTTATATATGTAATTTTAGCCCTGGTTATTAATCCCTAATGCTAATATAAAAAATGCCGATTATCAAAATTAACTAACTGCTAATGTAATTACCAAATATCTTTGATTCTAAAATAATGATATTTCTTTACAGGTATCGGTATATCTTTGAAGCTGTTAGTAAATTTTGGTTGAAGTGCTTCGCTTCTAATTTCAGATTAACAGAAGGTAAATTCGATAAATAAATTTATTTTAAGAGATGATAGTGTCAAAATATTGTGATAAATATTTATAGCTTATCTCGCATATTATATTCTTACGTTATCGTAATTGATACTAATTGATTTTCATATGACCCTATTTCTGTATTTTATTTAATTATCGCATGCGCGGTTGCACACATATATATTTACGGATAATTTTTTTTGTAAATAAATCTGTTCTAGCCTCAAATAATTACCTTAAGCCGAATAAGTCTTACAGCCCTAAATCCTATTTATATACCGACCTTACATAATTGTTGAGTGATTAAAATATAACGATAACACGTATCGGTATGTACAGTAGCCAACAAAAGTAACGCCCGATTTGCAGATCACCTCACGTGAGCAAATAATGGGGCTGTGTTTGCCC